AAAAACCAAAAAAAAAAAAAAAAAAAAAAAAAAAAAACCATTGAAAGGTGAGCGGAGCTGTACAGGCATGTCTGTGGCCTGTGAACCGGCCTTGCAGTTCTGTGGTGTTGAGGTGATGCGATGGCAGCTCACTGCCCACCAGGCAGGTGGTCCTCATGCCTCATACCTGTTGAGGCATTTGACCCCCAGCAACCTGTGCAGAGCACCCCAGGGGAAAAGATAATGTCTGTGAATAACTCGATGACTAAGTTAACTGAGTAGATTATATCAAGCACGCATTGTGGTAGAAGCCTGATAGGGAAGCTTCTTGAAAATTCGTGTGCGTTCTAGAAAAATCCACATGAGCCCTCTCAGGAAGTTGGCCCCAGGGGTCCTGAAGGTCACGGTCTGTTGGGGGTGTCCCTGCCAGCCCTCTGGCACTACATCAAGATCGAGAGGTGATAGAGTAGTCTCTCTGAAGATGCAAAGTTCCACTGAGGAAATAAGGCAGAGCCTGGCTGACAGAACCTGGAAATAAGGCAGAGCTTGAGGCCTCAGTGACACTCAGAACTGGGAGACACCATTCATACTGTTCTGTGGTTGCTCCTCACTGCAGCTTTACACCACTGCTCCAAATCCCCTCTTCTTATGACAGCCCCTCTGGGCCTTACAGGTGGCTTTCTTACCCTTCTCAGTGACTTCTAGAAACAGGGGCCCATCTCTCACCCAGTCACTGAATATATCATTTTTTTCCTACAACTTTACCTCACAAAAGAAGGATCAGTCTTGTAGAGTGCTTGAACCTGTGGATAAAACATTTTTAAAAATACCAGAGAATAAAGTCTCGACATTTGTACTTACTGTGAGTTAAGCAAAAGTAAGTCTTGTCACTTCGCTGGAAAATGTGATGGATAATTATTTTGAATAAATAGAGAAAATGTCCTTAGGTGTGCTCATTTTTTTTATCAGTATAGATTACAACAGGACATACACATTGACCCCTGGCACGTGTATATGTTCACGGTGCTCAGTAACCCCTCGGTGTGTGTGTACAGTTATGTCTGGGCATGTATGTACAGTGACCCCTAGGTATGTGCATGGTGACCCGTTAGGCATGTACGTGTGCAGTGATCCCCTAGGCATGTGAGCAGTGACTTCCAACCACGTTAGAGTGCACAGTGACCCATAGATGTGTATCTGCACAGTGGCTCTGTGTGTGTGTGTGTGTGTGCGCCCTTGTCCTTAGGTGTCTCTATGTACAGTGACCCCTAGTGTGTGTGTGTGTGTGTGTGTGTGTGTGTGTGTGTGTGTACAGTGAGCCATAGGCACATGTGAAGTAACCCCTAGGTATGTGTGCATGCATGGAACCCAAGATATGTGCCTGTGCACAGTGTCTTAACTTGCCTGACACAGGGACAAAATACTCAACACCCACAATTTAAAGGAGGAGAAGTTTATTTTGACTCAGTTCTAGTCCAAGGTTGGCTGTCTTCAAGGTAGAAACAACTTGGTAGAGGGGCATGGTCAAGGAAAGAGTGTGCAACCTGTGGCAGGCAGGAAGCAGAGAGAAGGGAAGAGCCAGAGAATGAGATACAGCTTTCCAATCATATCCTTAGTGACCCACCTCTTCCCACCAGGCCCCACCTCCTGATAGGATATTCAGCTATGGATTCATCAGTGGGTTAATCTTCTGATGAGTATATTGCCTCCATGATCCAATTATCCTCCAAATCCCTACCTGTGGACACAGGAGATTTTGGGAGACACTTTATATCTAAATCATAACATTGTGTACTCTGACCCACAAAATACCTATGTCCATCCTTTATGTAAAATGCATTAATTCCATCTCTAAGAGTCACCAAAGTTTTACCTATACCAGCATTGCTGAAAAAAATCCAACTGCAAAGTCTCCTCTGAGATTCAAGTCAAATTCTTAGTTGTAAGCCCCTGTAAAAATTAGGAAGTTAAATACTTGTTACGTACAATGGCGTAGGCTAAACATTCCCATCCCAAAAGGGAGAAACTGGGAGATAGAAAAGAATGCGACCAAAGCAAGACCAAAACCCAGCAGAGCAAATGTTAAATCCTAAAGCTCTGTATCCAGCACCTTGGGCAAGTTGTGGCAAAATGTGAGCTCTTTGGTTCTTGGCATAGCTAATTGCAGCCCCGCTATGTCATTGCTGGTTGCAGCCCACATGACATTTCTGTTGGGCAGTCTCCACCCACTACCTGTGGATTTCCTCAGCAGATGTTCTACATTCCTGAGGTCTCTACTGTACTTTTGGTTTTACTGTCACAGTGTCACGTACTACCTTCTCCAAGAATACACCACCTGACCTCCTAGGCCTTCTACTACAATCTGGGTAGAAGCCTGTGTGATCCCGTAAGTCTTGAATTCTGCATGCTTGTTAAACCACCATCATGTAGGTGATGCCAAGGTCTGCTACCAGCTGAAACAATAACTAGACCCCCTTAAATCATGACTGTGGAGGTCTGTGAGTGCTTGCATGGTGAAATGAATCCTGAAGAACCAATTCCCTAGGCAGCCTCCTCAGCAGGGACTCTCTTAAATGAAAGCTTTATAGTTTTGCATCCTTGAGCTTGCAAAGAGTAGGGTATTTCTGATTCCTGAGATGCCTTTAAGCCATCTTTCCTATTGTCCTCATGAAAAGTACTTGGCTTCTTTTAAATGTAACCTTTTTAGCAGCCAAGCTCAAATTGACCCCAACTTTACTAGTGCTTCCTTTCTGGCCACCAACAAGATATTTCAAATTATTAAGCTCTGCTTTTTGGTCCTGATTCTTACTGAAAATCTTGCTTAAAAAAGAGTCAGCAGAACCCATGTCAAAGCCTTAATATTGGGTTGCCTTGAAATTTCTTTCACCAGATTGATTAGTCCGTCACCCTTAACTCAGGATTTGAGTAAAATGTACACGCATATTCTGCCAGCGTATTATACACATGACCTCTAATCCCACTGCCAATGGAACCTTTGTTCCCAGCTGAAGCTGGCGTTTACTGTCTGCACTGCTATCAGCATTCTGATCTTCTAAGCTCTGATTAGAATCTCCTGTTAAGCCACTTTACAGCATTCTAGGGCTTCTCTAGCCAGATTTCCAAACCTTCCTAAACTCCTATGAAATAGTTCCAAAGGCTTTTGAACTAATGGTCAGGTACTGTCACATGAACACCTGGTACCAATTTCTATCTTAGTCACATTCTTATTGCTGGCACAAAACACCCAACACTCACAACTTAAAGAAGAAGTTCATTCTGGCTTACGGTTTCAGTCCACAGCTGTCTGGCTCCAAGGCAGAAAGAGCACGGTAGAAGGACATGGCAAAGGAAAAGGTAATCAATGCAGGGCAGGCAGAAAGCAGAGATGGGAGGAGCCAGGGAGGCAGATGTAACCTTCTAGTTGCATCCCAGTAACTGCCCTTTCAACTAGACCCCACCTCCCAACAGCACCTTCGGCTGTGGGTTCATCAGTGAATTAGTCCACTGATGGGTACAGCACCATCAGGACCTACTTTCCAGAAGCCCCACTTCTGAACACATCATAGAGGATATTTTATATCTGAACCATAACACAGTTACCTCTCTAGATGTGTGTATGCAGTGACTTCTAGGTGTGTGTGTGTGGCAGAGCCTCTCAGGCATGTGTGTATGCAGTGCCCTCAGGTACATGTGTGCACAGTATCCCCCAGGCACCTTGCCCCTATGTGTGTGTTCAGTACCCTTGACTATGTGTGTATGCACAGAGCCTCCCAGGCAGGTGTGTGTGTGCATGTAGTGACCCTAGGCATATGCGTGTAGTGCCCCCAGTCACATGTGTGCACAGAGCTTCCCAAGCATGTGTATGTACACAGTGCCCCCAGGTACCTACGTGTACATGAGGATCCCAGGGGTGTATGTGCATGCACAGTGCCTGTAGGTATGTATGCATGCATCCACTTGTGTGTGTACAGAGCCCTGCAGGGTTTTATGTTTTCTCAGCTCTTCCATTGCCCCTTGTAATACCCTGGCTGACTGGACTGACTTAGGTCTTCAATCCCAGTGGTTCCTTGTGTCTGCAGCCTTATACAACCTTCCACTGACAGTGCCAGTTTTTGTGGCAATATGAAGTGGAATGCTGGGGGTGGGTGCCTTTCATGATTTTAATTCTATCTCTGTACATGCTCGGGAGTGTTGTATGGAGCTGGTTCTGCTGTATCGTGAAACAGATCAACACCTCCCTGCACTTTAACTGAGTAATTCTAGCCTTCTCTCTCCTTATGTGAGAGAAACCTTCTGCTGGCTGGGACTTACCACCTGAAGGATGTGGCATATATTTTAAACCTAGGGCCTTGCACTGATCTACATCCCTTTCACATTTTATTTTTAGATGGGGTAAAGCTCACCACATTGCCCTAGCTAGCCTCAAACTTGCTATCCTCCTGCCTTAGCCAGGTAGCTGGATTATAGGTGTGTGCTACCACACCCAACTGTATTGTACTTTTTAATCACTCATAATGCTTTTTGTTGTTATGTGGTGCTGAGGATCAAACACGAGGGCAGGAGCATGCTAAGTAAAGATTAATCACTAGGTGAAGTGTGTATTACCCATGTCATAAATCTCCTTAGAGGAACATGTATCCGTCATGTTCGTATAACATCAAATATAGCATGAAGTAGGGTTTTGTGAATAATATGTTTAAATATATATATATATATTTTTTTTATTTTAAAGAATAAAAGAAGGATAACATAATAATAGGGGGG